GACTGCCAGCAGTTCGATTCTCACCGTCTCAAGATTGACTCAGCCTTCCATCCTTCCGAGATCGGTAAAATGAGGACCCAGATTGTTGGGGGAAAATATGCTGACTCTGTAAACCACTTAGAGAGGGCTTTAAAGCACTGTGAAGCGGTATATAAGTGCTATTGCTATTGCTACTATTTTATATTTTTAACTGCAGCTTGCCACCCAGAGTCATGAGACTGAGAAGGATGACTATGTGGAATTCTGGGAGTTGAAGTCCACACATCTTAAAGTTGCCAGGTTGAGAAACAGTATTTTGAGCTATTCAAAGAAACAGGAACACATATATATATATGCACAAACATACAGTTAAAATTTAAACCTAACCATTTAATGTTAAGACTGTTTCTATAAACAGATTGGCACATTTCAAGTGATTTAACAGATTTTTCAAGCAAACACAACAGCAGAACTATAGGCTGTAAAAGACGAAGTAAAAGGCTTTATAGTTCCAGGTGTCTTGTGCTCATGTTTTAAGCATGGTGGATGTTGTGCTAAATGGTTCAATATAGATGCCTGCTGATTAGCAGTTGCATTTCAGAGAAATAGCACCTCAAAAGGGATTCCAATGTACAGTATATCCTGCCAAAGACATGGACTTAGAACAAGGCTGATGATAATTATAATAGGTTATGGGTAATGTAATTTAATAAGAAAGGAAATGATCCTTCAGCTATCCTAGAGCTGACACCACAGATTTTTCTAGATTAAAAAGAGGGACACCTTGATTTATGTCAAAAAATAACTGGAAGCTGGTAAAGTTGTTCCAACATGATTTTCAAAAGACTCTTCTGATCAAAGCCAAAATACTAAAGTTTGAATCATCTATAGTTTCTCAGACACTTTTCAGGAGAGTGGTATATAGAGCATATTGCCATCATGTAAATGAGGCAATTAAAATATAAATCACTATAAGCAATCTCAGCTCTTTAATGAGGATATTAGAATAACATGCTTTTTTATTATGATGATATAGGAACTGGCACTGAATCTTCTATATACCTTGGAACATCTACGTGCGAATCAAATGTCTCCCTTTTTAAACCTTAAAGTAAGAGAAGGAAGTCAGAGTAAATTATCAACAATATGAATAGGAAAAAGAAAGAAGGTAAAGAGTTGATTAACAGTGGCTAGGGAATTCATTAGTACCAATTTCAGAGGCTAATGGAGTATAGAAAGTATAATTAAAACAATATACATTATCAAGCAAACCAGAAGAACAAAGAAAGAACAAGAATGTAATACTTTTCATGCACAAGATTATCCATGCTTTTCTCTGTCACTGTTTCACAACCACAAGGGACTATGTATGTATCACAAGGACCTGTGCGTGTGTTAATTTCACTGATCCTAAAAATCATTTTTAGTTTTTGTCCAAGGAGAAGAATGGAATGCATCTCTGCATTCTAAAAGAAGAAATCAGTATTGACAGCACCACATGCAAAAATTTCCCATTCCAGAAGTTATTTGGGCCCTGAATCTATATGGCTAGTCGGGGCAAGTGATTTTCCTCAACTTATGATAGACATCCTTCTAGGTTTTTGGATGGATGGGGAACATATTATGATTTTATACTGAGAAACCATTCGTGGAATGCACAAATGAGCAGGGCTGATGGATAGGGCCATAACAAGTGTGAATGCATGCCCACACATATATTTATATAATACATCCACTCTCTCACTCACTCACCTCACTCCCTTGCCATCCTAATTATTGTCACTGTTTTTCATTGCTGTTTGCAGTTAGAAAACAGTGGTGTGTTACCCATCTTTTAGATGATGTGAGATGTAAAAAAAAAAAAGACAGGGATTATGGGTCTATGCAAGAAGAAAGGAGAATTACATGTAGTCTGTGGGTATCCATACTGTTCTAGTCCAGTGTTTGAAAACTAAATTCCATAAGTGCATACTCTAATTACTCTTTCACAACCTTGTATCCTTCAGCTCTGTAAACAATACTCCATTTCCCCCAATGTTACAGGTTGAGGATGAGGGATGTACAGTGATCCTACAAAACTAGAAGGCATTCAAAAGTTCACCTAGTACAGAAAGTAAGTTGGCATTTTGACAAATCTGGCTTCTTAAAATGTGTGGGAAGTAGAACAATTCAATTAGTAAGGCAAAATAAACAATCATTTGGAGAGAGTGCTGCCAATATACCACATTTTAGTTATAGAAACATACTGCAAAGAGAACTGTCACCTTCTAACAGGTGACAGTTCTAACTTGTTAGAAAACAAGACAACTTGTTAGAAAAATGATTGCCATCTCAGTTTTTGTAACCGAAGAGTAATGCTGACAGCTTATTATTAGTTGTTTTGCTAGAATAAATGGAACTACAAACATGATATTTAAAGGATACATCCCTTCGTGTAGATGAAATATGTAATGATGTTGATGATAATAGAGGCAGTGTTGAGTTCAAATACACTAATTTGCATCATAAAAGGGCAGCAGTTCAGTGAAGTAAAGTAAAACATGACAGTAAGAATACAGTGTCTTGGTCAATTACTTATCATTAAAGCATCTAGTCAAACAAAACAAGAAAACATTGCCTTGTGTAGGGAAACAACATCTGTCAACACAAAATAACAATGTGTCAGGGACTGGATATGAAAGAAGTAGCAGCTGAAATGCTTACCATATCTGCACCTGTATTGACAGACTCCATTCTTTCCTCCTAACAGCTCTGAGACAAAGTCAAAATAGCCATTAACAGCATCAATGCCATCCCGGATGGTCCCAATTCCCCAGTCAGAATAGGAGCTTTCCTCTGGCAATGGAGAAGGAGGGATGACATTATCCTGCATGGTTTCTTCAGTGCATTTCCCTTGACTCAGAGACAAGCACAGAATCAGTGCCCTGGTGAACAACTTCATGCTGAAGTTGGACAAAACAAAATTGGGCCCAGGAAATCTCCAAGAACAGAAGCGGTGCCAATGGGATCGTGATAACAAGACTGGAGGTATTTTGAGTGTGCTTTTGCGGTGGACTTTAAACACTGCTGTGTTAACAGGATGAAGTCACCATAATCAGGGAGCACAAAGTTCACATGAACAGCGTGTGTTGCCCAATATTTAAGGGCTTTGATATGCTCTGCCCAGGTGGACGCAGAGGTGGCAGAATTCCAAGGCTAATCATAAACTCCCACAGGCAAACTCATCCTCTCCCCCAAACCTTTGAGTCCCCCATCCACACCTCCATTATGGGTCCATTTAGTTATTTATGGCTTCTGCTGAAATGCCTAGAGCAGTTTATGTTTGAAAAAAAGCATAAAAGAAAGCACATTCCCTTACATTAAAGAGGGAAAAAAGGCCTCTTCTAAGTTGTGCATCACAAAACAATCTTCCAAAGTAGAAAATCCAGCAGGATTTAGTGGTTTTCAGTACCTAATGGAACACTAGAATGCAGGAGGCACCTGAAACTCCTGGGATCAATAGTGTTCTGTTTTGTTCGTTGTGAAGGCATTGAGACGAGGCAGGAGTAACACAGTCCTTCTTTATTCAATCTCCAACAGAACAATACAAAATGGCGTCGATTCCTTTTATACCCTTTTGCAGGGACAGCATCAACCAATCAATGCAACGGATTCTCCCGCCTTGCACATGCGCAATAGGCTGGAGACAGCCTGTCTGATCCCGGGCATCCACGTGGTCTGCCCAGGCCTCTCTGCAGCTTCCTGCACCTGCTGAGTCACTCAGCAGGGGCAGGACATAACACCCCTCCCCCTCTTAGATCAGAAACAATAACACTTAGTATTTTAAAATACTACAAACCTAACACTTATTCTTTTGAGCGTGTTCTGATTTCTAAGTAACCTTAAGCTTGCCCAACTACTGACAGGAACCTTATGTAGTCCTGTAAGTGCTTGGGTGGACCTCTGGCCCGCTCTGATCTTCTTAGAACAGGTGTGCTTGCCTGGTCTGCAAGCTTGCCTGCCAGGCTCGGCAGACCAGGACTTTGATGCCCCCTATATTCAGGCGGCCCTCTATCATGCTGACTGGCCAGATCCTGTAAACCCAGACCAGAGTTCCTTGGTGGGGTGGAATTCCCCAAGTCCACAATTGACCCCTCTTGGAAGCACTGTCCCATGAGCCCAAGACCAGCAGATGGAGTGGCCGGAACAGCCAGTTGCGAGCAATATCCCATGGACCCAGTGCCAGAGTCAGGAGCCGCCTCGTTGGCAAACCCCCCTACGGTGCATGTGAAGTTCCGCTTTCGCAGAGAGACTGCGGTCCATGATCGTAATTGTGGTCCTCCTCCCCCCCGAGAGCAGAGTCAGGAGCAGAAGTGTGGCTGTCAAGTCTCCAGCGCAGTTGGTCGATGTGTCTACGTAACACACGACCATCATCCAAGGCCACTTCGTATGACAGTGGCCCAGTTACTTTGCAGACCACTGCTGTCACCCAGAGATGACCAGGTCCATAATTCCTTGCCCAAACCGGATCACCCACCTGTAGTCTCCTAGGTGCCCGTGGCTGTGACACCTGTGAAGCCACTCGGTCTGGATGCAACCTGTCCAGTTTTGTAATGAGTCGGCGACCCCAGCGGAGTTCAGCTGGGCTCTTTCCTGTTTGCTGTGCAAGGTGTGGTGCGGTGGCAAAGAAGAAAGTCAGCTAACCTGTGATGCCAGCTTCCATGAGTGATCCTCTTTAAAGCATCCTTGGTTGTGCGCACCATACGCTCAGCTTGACCATTAGAAGCTGGATGAAACGGTGCTGATATGGCATGACGGATCATGTTGGCCTGTAGAAAAGCCTGAAACTCAGAAGAAGTGAATTGGGGTCCATTGTCGGAGACAAGGACATCTGGAAGCCCATGAGAGGCAAAGATCCCTCTCAACACCTGGATGGTCCTGGCAGCAGTCGTGGAGGAGACTGGAATGACCTCTAGCCACTTGGAATGGCTGTCCACGAGGAGAAGGAAGAATTGCCCCTGAAAGGGGCCAGCGTAGTCGATATGGACCCTCGACCAAGGGGCATGTGTCTCCTCCCACCTATGTACAGGAGCCTGAGGCATTTCAGGCCTAGACTGTTGGCAAACACTGCACCCGTGGACCTGGGCCTCGATCTCCTTATTGAGCCCAGGCCACCAAAGATGGCTGCACGCAAGCGCCTTCATCCGGACTATTCCCAGATGTCCCTCATGCAAAGACTGCAAGACTCTAGTCCTCAATGAGGCTGGGATCACTACCCTGCTACCCCATAGGACACACCCCTTGAAGGTGGATAGCTTGTGCTTCCTCTTCCAGAAACTCTGGAACTCTGAGCCTGGACATGTGTCAGGCCATCCTGACAGCACCCATGTCAACACGTGTGTTAATATGTGATCAGTGGCTGTTTCTGCAGCCATATCCCTAGCATTGAGGGGAGACTCAGGCAAATCCTGAATAGAAAGTATGTGGTTAGCTGGAGCAAGATCTGACTCTACTAACTGTAGAGGTACTCTGCTGAGGCCATCTGCATGGCCCATTTCGTTGCCTGGCTTGTGAACCAATGTGTAGTCATATGCAGAAAGGAAAATTGACCATCTCAGCATTCTAGGAGAAATTATGTGTGGGGTTTGCTTGTTGGTTGTAAACAACCCCAGCAGTGGCTTATGGTCTGTAAAGACTGTAAAATGGTGACCATATAAAAAGTCATGGAACTTTTTTATGCCAGCCACTATGGCCAAGGCTTCTCTATCTATCTGCGCATAATTACACTCGGCAGATGATAGAGTCCTAGAATAGTAAGCTACAGGGACTTGTGTCCCATCAGCCTTTAACTGACTTAACACAGCCCCAATCCCATAAAGGGATGCATCACAGGCTATGCACACAGGCAGTTGCTCATTGAAATGCACTAGAACCCCATTTGAAGAAAGCAAGGCCTTGACCTCTGCAAAACTCCTTTCATGGACTTTTATCCACTGCCACAGAGCCTGTTTATCCAAGAGCCGGTGTAATGGCTCAGCCACTGCAGCCTTGTGAGGAAGGAATGAATGGTAAAAGTTTAACAGTCCCAGAAAAGCTTGAAGTTCGCTCTTTGACTTGGGACTTGGGGCCTGCTGAATTGCTTTGAACTTAGATTCAGCAGGATGGATGCTAAAGTCTTGGACTTTAAGAGAGCTAATTTCAATAAACTTAGAGAGGGCTTGGGAAGGATTCCATGGATGAGAATCCTCAAGGGGAAAACAACTCAAGAAGCTTGGGAAATTTTGAAAAGTGAGATAATAAAAGCCCAGTCCAGTACAATACCAACAAAGAGGAAAAATAACAGCTCTCAAAAGAAACCAGCATGGCTGCATAAAGAACTCTCTGATAAATTGAAAGAAAAAAAGGACAAGTATAGAAAGTGGAAAGAGGGGCACATAACTAAGTCAGAATATCAACAAATAGCCTGAGCCTGCAAAGATGAAGTGAGGAAAGCTAAGGCTCAAAATGAACTAAGGCTTGTGACCAAAGTCAAAAATAACAAAAAAAAGCTTCTTTCAACATGTAAAAAACAAGAAAAAAGTGAAGGAAATGATTGGTCCATTAGTGAGGGAAAGTGGCAAGAAGGTGACAAGCAACAGGGAGAAAGCAGAACTATTTAACTCGTTTTTTTCATCTGTCTTTACACAAAGGGAAAAAACAGACCAACCTATCAAAAATAGTGCCATAAAAAACGGAATAGAAACGCAAGTTAGGATAGGCAAGAAAACGGTAAGGGAGCACCTGTCCAGCCTAGACGAGTTCAAATCACCAGGACCAGATGGATTACACCCCAGGGTTCTCAAGGAACTGGCAGATGTGATCTCAGAACCATTGAACTATATTTTTCAAAGATCCTGGAGCACTGGGGAACTGCCGGAGGACTAGAAAAGAGCTGATGTTGTTCCCATCTTCAAAAAAGGGAAAAAAAATGGACCCAGGAAACTACAGACCTATCAGCCTGACCTCAATACCTGGGAAGATTCTGGAAAAGATCATCAAAAAACGAATCAGCGAACACCTAGAGGAAAACAATGTCATTACTAAAAGCCAACATGGGTTTGTCAAAAGCAGATCATGCCAGACAAATATTATTGCATTCTTTGACCAAGTGACAAAATTAGTGGATCAGAGGAATGCTGTGGATATAATTTACTTGGACTTCAGTAAGGCATTTGATAAAGTAGATCACAACCTACTACTTGATAAGATAGAAAAATCACCACCAGATGGATCTGTAGCTGGCTGACCGGTCGTAGTCAGCGTGTGGTCCTCAATGGAACCGCATCTACATGGAGGGAAGTGTGTAGTGGGGTGCCCCAGGGCTCTGTTCTGGGTCCAGTGCTCTTCAACATCTTCATCAACAATTTAGATGAGGGGATAGATGGGGAAATCATCAAATTTGCAGACGACACCAAACTGGCAGGAATAGCCAACACTCCAGAAGACAGGCTTAGGATACAGGAGGATCTGGACAGACTTGAACACTGGGCACTATCTAACAAAATGAAATTCAGTGGTGAAAAAAGTAAGGTTCTACATTTAGGCAAGAAAAACCAAATGTACAGGTATAGTATAGGGGGTACCTTGCTCAATAGTAACTGTGAGAGGGACCTTGGAGTCCTAATGGACAATCACTTAAATATGAGCCAGCAGTGTGCTGCAGCTGCCAAAAAGGCCAACACAGTGCTGGGCTGCATTAACAGGGATAGAATCAAGATCACGTGAAGTATTAATACCACTTTACAATGCCTTGGTAAGGCCACACTTGGAATATTGCATCCAGTTTTGGTCACCACGATGTAAAAAAGATGCTGAGACTCTAGAAAGAGTACAGAGAAGAGCAACAAAGATGATTAGGGAACTGGAGGCTAAAACATATGAGGAACGGTTGCTGGAATTGGGTATGTCTAGTTTAACTAAGAG